GTTTGGTCGAACGGCTTCGTGCATTGGTCTCAATGGCCTGGCCATCAAGAATTCTGCAGAAGAACGGCTGTCCAAGCAATGTAGTTTCGGTGTGGCCTGGTAATTCAACAAGAACTTGTCCAAAATTTCTTCCATTGTCCCCTCCCCCTTCGATTTGATCAGTGCACGTTTGAAAGTGTCCACGAATCATTTCGCTTGTCCATTCGACTGCGGGTGAAACGGAGGGAAGGTGATGTGTATGATGCCTTATTTTCTGATGAATTCGGAGATTTGCCGTGATATGAAATGACTGCCATAATCGGACACAGTCTTCTCCGGAACACCGAAAGTGGAAAACAAATGGCGTAAATTCGAAATTGCCGTCGTGGTGGTATCTCGCATGACGAAAATCTCTGGCCACTTGCGGAAAGCATCGACAACAATCAGGAAACTCCGACCATTGGTCGGTCCAGCAAAATCAATATGGAGGCGAACCCATGACTTTTCTGGCCTCGGGCAAGGTTATGGCAATTGTCGGTTGGGAAGCTTTTGTGCAGCGGTACACTGAAGATAGCTTCGAACTATCCTCTCCATTTATTCATCCATATTGGGATAATAGACATAATTTCGGGCGAGAGCTTCCATCCGGGTTATTCCGGGGCGTCCCCTATGGAGCTAGGTCATAATCCTGCAGCGGAGTGCTTCAGGGACAACCACTCGATCGGCAAAGAGAAGGCAGCTGTAAACGATCGATACTGCATTTCGACGCTTAAATAGTTGTCGCAGTACTGCGGGTGGACAAGTAGACGGCCAAGGTGACTGGGGGTAGTGCATCGCTTGTTACAAAAAATTGTCTATGCTGGTGACCTCACGAACCATATCAGCCGTAACCGTTAGATGTTTGATTGTTTCTTGAACAGCTACTTTGATTTCAGGTCCCAAAGCGGTCGATGTAATAACTGCTTCTTCCGATTTCTTGTTGTGGGAACGGATCATACTCGAAAGGGCATCTGCTTAGCCAATCTTATCCATCGGAGTGTATTTAATGGTGAAGTTGTACCAAAGGAGTATTGTAGCCCATCGTTGTAACCGATTGGCGGTGTAGATAGGGATATATTTCTTTGAATCAAAGACCGCAAGGAGAGGTTTGTTATTGGTGATGAGAGTAAAATGTCGTCCAAATAATATTCCATGAAACATTTTGATTGCACAAATGATAGCTCAGGCTTCTTTCTCAATTTGACTGTAATTGCGCTCTGCTGGTGCTGAAGATCGTGCAGCGTGTGCGATCGCCTTTTGTGTACCATCCAGGAATTAATGAGCCATGACTGCTACCTCTCCGCGGTTGGAGGCGTCAGTTGTGAGAATGACTAGTATTCTGGGATCAAAATGTGTTAGCAAGAGTTCGGACTGTAGTAACCGTTTCACCGGCTTGAGTATACATTGACAGTCGCTGGACCATTCGTGTTTGGTCCCCTTGATCAAAAGCTGGTTAAAAGGTTCACGCAACCGGTGCATAGCTGAGAAGAAGTCACCGTAATAACTGATCGATCCTACGAATGACTGTAACTGGGGCATATCGGATGGTGGAGGCATTCTCACAATGGGTACAATTTTGGTGGAGTCAGGTCCGTGGTCGTTTTTGTCGATAATGAAACCAAGGTACTTCATATTATTCAGGAGGCGTTGATGGATATCGGTCGTCCAATGCGTCATTCAAACCAGTTGAGAAATTAGTATAAATACGGACTGTTCCTTTGGCTTTTTCACGACAACAATCGGTGTAGCCCAAGCAGAATAGTTGATCGGCTTCAGGAATCCGGAATCTTCTAGGCGTTTGATTTCTGCGTGGACGGCGGATAAAGCTGCAAATGGCACTGGTCTTTTCGTTCTGAAAACCGGTTTGGCGTNGGCGTTGGGCTTTAAGTTAAGGTCTATCTTTAGTTTCGCGCAGCAGCCCAGACCTTCGGTAAAAACCGCAGCGTACTTGTTTTGGAGGGACAAGAAGATGTTCGTATGTGGTTGCGCCGATTTGTCCACCTCTTAACTTGGTTTGGTGTGGATGAACATAGCTCATCGATTGTCACCTGTTTAAGTTGCAGGCCATCGATCCAATCGATACCAAGCAAGTCCAATGCACCATCGAATAAAAGGATTGATCCAAGACTTCGTTTACCCACTATTTCCATCTCACACTCGAATTCAACAAGTAAATTTATCTTACCTCCTGATGTGTTTCTGGCCATGTTGGTTGTTGGTGTGCACCTTAGACAGCCAATTTTCCTGCAACTACGTTTATATACTGGTATGATATCGGTGGCCGTATCAAGTTGCCAACGAAATTTTTTTCCGCTTGTTTTGGCCGCTACGTGCTTCCGGCGTAGCTAGAAGTTTGGTTCGATCGCGGCAAGGACAGATTTGAAATTGGGTTTGGGTTTTTTCGTGATCTGCTACCTGATCTGCTGTAGCGACTGACCTTTCTTCTATGCCTTGTGGTTCCGCATTATGTCGCTTTATGACCAAAAGGATTGCAAAGTGTACATTTGTGTTTCTTGTAAGGGCTGAGTTTCACAAAGTGTCACTCACCGCCTTGCCAGCAAGCTGATGAAGGCTTTGTTCCAGTAGGATCAGTTACTGTATCAGGCTGTTTGGAAGGTGTTTGTGTCACGTTGAAAGGATTGTTGGATGATGGATGCTCCAACATGCCTCAAGTGAAGTCAAGTACTTGCTTCATGCACCGAAAAAGGTGGATATTCAGCAGTCAAATAGTCAACCAACAATTATGGAACAAAATTATAACAGAATTGTCGTAAGCAATGAAAAAGAAAACAATTTACGAGATTACTGAGTTAAGTTCCGAAGCGATGCGTTCTGGGCTGACAAGAAATCGGGCAAGGTAGGGCACCACAGAAGACCGATAGGAGGTGGTACGAGCAAATATATAATTATAGCGGGACCGGGTGGAAGAGGAGGATACACACCTAATAAGATCTTGATGTAACTGATGTGAAGGGTTTTCAATGATTTTTGTTGATAACGAGACTTTGTATCTTGGGAAATGATGAAGTGACAGATGGTCTCACGGGAAATCCTGCTACTTCTTGATAAATGTGCTAATCATCTGGAAAGCAATTTAAAGTCCTTTTTGAGCATCCCTGGAAAGATAACTGGGGACCCGTACAACCATAGGGGTAAAACACAGGCAAAAAGAAAACGTTTGATCAAGAAGCGAGGGACGGATAGTGTTTTCAGTCGTAAGACATAAAATGACAGTTTCCTGACCTTTCCAAATGCAGAAACAACTTGGTCAGACCAGCATACTTTTCGGTTAATTAACACAATAAGATACTCGACATTAGGGGGTTGGACAATAGTATCATGGTATATGTTTAACGTGGAACAGGATTCCAAGCTGGCGCATGGACAAAAACGAATTGGATGAGTATTTGTCAGTGTCTGTCATGAAAAGCTGTGTCACGTGATTCGACGATCAATGGGAGCTGATAGACGAATGGGTACGTAGCATCCCTCCGTCTCTTAGATAACGTGTTACGTTGTTACCCCATAGCGATCAACTGGTTTAGGAATACGTTAGGATCTGCGTAGAGCGGGCTCTGTCGGTTGGATATTTGTAGTTTGTGAAGGTGGACTTGGAGAATTGGTCGGTTGCTCTGTTCTGAGTGGATTATCGTCGCTTTCAGAACTTTCAGTTACGCGAGGTCGAACATGGTCAGAGTATCGGCAAACAATTCGCCCATCGCCGACCTTCGGAGTAGTGGTGTTACCAGTAGATGAAACTATCGCAGCTGGATGCTATGTGGACTCATGTGGCAGTCTTGTATAAACCGGATCGGACTCATTGTATAAGTGATCTTTATTTCGAGATGACTGTGCATTTAACTTTTCCTGCTGTCTTTCTACTCTTGCTCTGGGGGAAGTGAAAATTAGTTGTAACCTTGTTCGGAGGTTACGACCAAACATCAATTCAGCTTGGGATCGACCGGTGGTTTCTGTAGGAGTAGTTTGGTAAGCAAAATGTAGTCTGTCCAGTTTGGTCTGCAGAGTTCCTGCACTCTGTTTGAGAATGCCTTGTTTAACCGTCTGCACTGCTGGTTCCGCCAAGCCGTTCGATGCAGAGTGGTGAGGAGCTGACCGCATATGCTGTATTCCATTGCTGCGGAGAAACTTTTGAAACTCTTCACTGGTAAATGGTGTCCCATTGTCTGTGCAAATTGTTTCTGGAATTCTGAATGTTGCAAACGAAGAACACATCTTGTAAACCGTAGCCTCTGCCGTAGCATGACTAACTGGATAAACTTCTATCCACTTCGAGTAAGCATCGACTATGACCAGGTACATCACTCCGTTTATAGGACCAAACTAATCTGCATGTATACTCGGCCACGGTTTATCTGGCCAGCGCCACGGATGAACAGGACCTGGAGGGTTTTGAAGTTGGTGCTTCTGGCATGCATCACACTTCCGTAATAAATCTTCAATATCTTGATGTGATGTGTGACACTAACCTCGAAATTCCTTATACACTTTAACTGCATTGAATATGCATAGTATACGATTCGAATAAAGTTCGTGTGCTATTCTATTCGAAGTTGTTCTATTTCGGGGATTGGTATTGCGTGAATTCTGGAATCCCATTTTGTGAATAGTATTATTCACAATACTACATCTGGCGTCGCGGCAGGTCTATTGAACCATGAATTCTACTCCACTAGAATCTCTTGATCTTAACTGCAGTGCACGCGATATCGAGGATTATTTTGAATGTTTTGAGATTTGGTGGTTGACCCGTTCAAAGCCCAATGAGGAAAAGTAATCCGCTTCCTTTTTGAATGCTACCGGTAAAAATGCTCATACATTAATCAAAACTCCCTTATCCTTCTCCACCTGTTTCTGTACCGTACGATGATTCAAAATCCCTCCTCCCACAGCATGTGAAGCCAACGAACTTCGAAGCCTCAGAACGAGCAAAATTTCATTTAGTGATACATAATCCGAATCAGGGCATCCGTGAATTCATCCTGGATTTGCTCACTCAAGCTGCAAAGTGTGATTTTGGAGATTTACTGGACATACAATTGAAAGATCGGCTGATCGCTGGCATCAACAATACCGTTTTGCAAAATGAAACTCTGAAGCTATCCAATCCGACGTTCAAAGATGTGCTCGCTTATTGTGAACAATATCAGGACAGTCGCGCCGCTACTTCATCCATGCCGTCCACCATTGAATGTACAGCCATGTTCAATTCACTCAAGACTAAATTTACGAAAGCTCATGCTACAGCCAGACGTTTCAAACCAGTCACACAATCTAACTCACACAAT